ATATCTCCGCATATATATAATAAATTATATATTTGAGGATCAGATACAAACAGTATTCTATTGTGACACTTTGAGAATAATGAGGTACTTTCTTGTCTGTTACGAGAAATTTTTGGAAAATATATACAGTAAAGAAATATTACAATCAATATGGCCCGTTCTTTAAAACAAAAAAGTAAATTCAAAAACAAAATAACTAACATATCTAAACGTTTTCGTGATGGAGGCAGAGTTGATCTTGGAAGGAAGACGCCAGTTTTAACACAATGACTAATAACATCGGAAGGCATCAAGTAATACCATTTACATAGAACTGAAGTAAAGACATGTTAAAACAAGCGATTTCCACTCCAATGACCATCTGTGACATCTTGTAATTTTTAACCAAATAACCACCAATTAAACTAGTAAAGACAAAAATAGTGAAGACAAAAACATAATGCGGGAATGGATATCCGCAATATGGACTTAGGAATGACATTGATATTACGTTAATAGGTATTAATTAATAAATATGTATATATCGTAAAGAAAATGAGTAATTTCTTGTGTCAGACTGAGTACAGGTTAATACAAGTAAGCACGTACATTTACTCACGCATCGTCATTCTGACACGCACTCGCACTCTCCTTTGGAGTGTACGAATATGTTATACAGTATAATACACATATATGCACCTTCTTACCTACAATAGTATCTATACTCTATTTATGTATACATATGAATAAACATACGTGGTTACTCGCATACCATCTCACACGTTCTCCACATAGAATATACAGTTCACTACATAACATAATAATTATTAATTTAAAGAGCAAGCAACGACACGTGATGACAACCAAATCATACTTAATATTCGGATAAACAGCCCTATACAGATTCAGTGTTTCAGAAATAATATTTCAATATATCGGATTGACAGATAGCCTTTATTACCACATAACTTCACTCAACCCAGTAAATAAATTACACATATGTTGCCGGGTGCAGCAACAGAACACATTTACCTCCCCTATAAAACGGTCCGAAGGAGATTTTTATTCTAAAATACTTTATTGTAATAAAGATCTGTATCAATTTTAACTGGGAGAGTTAAAATAGAGGTGGTATTAATTATACTGTAGAAGTATATACACGGAGCATGATTGCCCAATAGAAAATAACTCAGAATTCGTTTGTGTCATTCTTTGTTTCTGATGATATAATATGACCAAATTCAATCAAGTCACATTCTTTTTTGATGATAACTTTTTTTCAGCATTGGTTTTAATGAAAATTTTTCCATCAATGGACCATGTTTGTTTGATTTGTTTAGCTTTCTAGCGTAATAGCATATGGCATCGCGCGTTTTGGTTAGGTCCTCATTGACTGCGACGTTTTCGTAACCTGGAGTGTTCCGGAAGTTTTTCCTGACGGAGAGCAGACGACGCTTGGCATCATGATTGCGCAGACGTACAATAATTTGTCTTGTTTTACCATCAGACGGGGGTCCGATACGATGTGACCAGACGATGTCGCTAGGGTCCAAAATCGGGGCTGGACTTTCAGATGGTTTGATCTGATCTACTGCCTGTAGTATTAGGTTAGTAGTGTTTTCACCAGACGACTCTGGGATCCCAGAAAAACGAACACACTCCCTTCGACTGTATTGCTCCAGATCGTCAATTTTCATCTAAAGAGACTCATTTTCTGACTTTAATTCCAATATTTCCCTATTTAGGGGAGTTATTTCGTTCTGGATGAGAGTTTTAATACCTGGTAACATAATGCTACTGACAGTGATTGCTATGTGCTGAATGTCAAAGTCTGACAGACCTACATTTACGGGAGCAACAGGAGGGGTAGAGGTCATGGTTGGATGGAACTGGAGAAATTGCTGCTGATGATGTTGCGCCGACAATTGGAGCTGGGGCTGGGGCGGTACCTGCGAGATGTCCGAGTCCATATTCAACACAGTGTCAGAGTTAAGAAAACTTTCATGCAAATTGATACTGTCACCAGTTACTTTATTTTTCTTTGGAGAACGAGAGTTCGGTGTAATTTTAGAGCGATCACGTTTCAAACTGTTCATTATACAAGATACACGTTCATGATATCATATGCAACAAGCCAAGAAATACACTCGATACTCGGTCTCCAACTATATGTCGCCCTTACGGGTGTGAACAGGTGTGTAGTCAATCAAGTAAACAATCTATTTATAGCGACGGTCAGCTCACCTGTATCACATAAGCACGTACTCGGTATACTCAACAACCTGAAATTATTCAAATTCATGTTCAATACACGGACTTTTTTACCATTTTTCCAATATACATGTTTCCAAACACAGTATGATTCCTTCACCTATCTTCTGGAAAGTCCATATTGCCATATCCGGACACATTTTCTCCGGAGTGGTGTGTAAGGCGACTACCATACTGTACGGTCACGTATAAAGATTTCAGTCTAGAACTAAGTGATGGTCTCCAGTTCCGTAAATTAAAAATTGAAATAATAATGAAACCAGAAAATAATTATGTTAGCATTTTAACCCTACAAAAATCATCTCTTCAATTAGAAAATGAAAAAACTGTATATGCTTCATGTTGGACGTATATGGTAAGCTTAGTGGAGGTCTTGTTTTATATGCCATTTGCCTTCTGACGTCAGTTTTAAGACAAATAAACGTAGATAACAGTACATTCGTACATAAATAGTTCATCGCTGTCTTTACTGATGGCAAGTGGAAATATAAACAGTTTTAACAATGTCTCTATGACAAGTTATCTTCAAACATAAGATAGTGAAAAACAATAAAAAAACAATAAAAAAAAAAAATAATAATAATAATAATTATCAGATACAGCATGTTTTAATCGTTAATTGAGATCAACTTTGTACCGAAAATTTAGATTTGAAAACCACCACCAACCTCTTGCAGTTGTTTTATTCGACAATATATCTAGATATGTTAAGGAAAGATGACCTAGTAATGTATTTGTTAAATGTCAAGCCAACGGATATGTCAAGAAGCGACATATTTGTAACCTCACTCATCGGAAAAGGAGCTTCAATTGTTGGATAATTGATAGACGACTGCTGGAAAACAGGAAACGGGGATGTCTTAAGTGGTGTCACCTCAGGGAGACATCTCCATCGATGGGGAGATGACTTGTCTGTAGTGGACTTTGATTGGAGCTGATAGCCATCTCATACGATCTTATACGATTAAATGGAGCTTGTGTTTATATTGAATATTAACATTTAATTAAAGCGGCTATTACCTTAGATTTCAACATCGGGAAATGGAGAATTCGGGTTATGCATAATAAAATATATCCATAATAAAGCGATTCACACGCCTATAGCGTCAAATTTGTTGTTTTTGTACATATTTTCGGCGTCGGAACATTGTTTATCTTGACTAAGTTTGTAAACATATTCGGTTGATTACGAAGAAAGCTGAGTGGGTCGTATGGCTTGTCACGTGACGAAGTCGTTTACTTCCGCCGCAAAGAAAAAATGGATTTCGAGGTAAACAAACGCACATGTCTTATGTATGACACTTGCTGTTGCGCATTTCCGCTAATTCTTGTTTGAGTAAATGATTCTATAGTGTTATAATATATAATTTTTAACAATCAATCTTAGAAACTCGTTTTGTTTAGGCTTTTTCGTGTGGGAATTATCTATGTCAATCGCGGGCGCTATACCAGTGGGGTCCCAAAGGGGGTAATTACAATAGCGAAAAATTCATTGTGCAGAAATGCACAGAAATACATACTTTGTCTGTACACATTAATAGACCTTGTACTGTTTATTATGAAGGCTACCTTTATCATCACATTTTTTATTCTTAGGGTAACACCAGTACCGTCATATTTTTACACTTAGAACGAATACCCCTAATTGGGCCCCACTTTGCAGTCAATAACAAACGCATGTTGTTGATAGTGAATTCAAGCAAATAACACAACTATTTTCATTAACATTTATCAGATAACACTCTTAATAGTGTTGTTCATAACATATTCACGCGTCAAACACTGGATATTGGATTATAATCAATGACAGGCGGATACGTTATAAATTTATGGCTAACTTTAAGCTAACCAGTCAAGGAGAAGCTTCGCAAATTCAGAATCCGTATTCAGTCCAAGATCCTCCTTCATCTTTCGCCATCTATCGATCTCCTGTCGAATATAAATTCTTTCCAGTCCTCTTTTCTGGTCTGACTCCTTCCTCTTACGCTTTCTGGCACTTTCTGTAAGGTGACTTTTAGGTCCTCGTCGCTTTTTCGTATTTGCGTCCGCCATATTGCTTCTTTCTGGGATTATACGCATGCGCAGCATCAGGGTTACGAGCAGTAATGTATGAATTAGATCAAGACCGCACTGTTTACATTCTTTATTTTTTAGATATCAATAAAAATGGTTGCAATGACTATTAATTTTAGTAATTAACAGAAAGTCTTAGTTTTGTAACACGCTTTTGGAAAATATATATATCGTTTTCACGTGTTTTTAACAGTTTAGTCACTTTAAACGAACAAAAAAATAATCTAGTTCTGCGGTTTACTTTTAACTTAAGTAGTTTCAATGTTTGTCTCTTAGTAAGCGAAAAGTCGTAAGATCACTCTGCTTGTTATCGCAATATTTGAAAACATGCACCAGTATCTCACAAGCATCAATCGAAATGATCCGTATTTATAGGTTTTAAAAAAATTATGTAACAATGTGTTTTATGAAAGGTGTGATACAGCTTTTATTGGGTTTGACAGTCTTTGTCACTACCTTTCCACCTCTGGACCGCGGTTTCGAAGCCCATGTGGGAAAATCGCCAGGTACCTGCCGCAAGCTGATGGTTTTTCTGCAGGAGCTCCGTATTCCTCCATCACCCAAATTTGACATGTCCTTATATGACCTTAGCTGTAAATTGGACGTAACGTAACAATTACACAAAAATAAAACCACTTGAAAGTTGAATGAAATTAAAACAAAACCTCAACAATGAATTACTCTGGACCACGTCGTATTTAATGCATCGGCTAAGCAATATGTATAGGTCTTAACATTTCCTGGTCTCGTACATATATACAGATCACTTTGTAATGTATCTGATCATTGGTAATATATTATCACTTATTACGTTTCTTTGTAGCAAACACATTTTTTTCATAGATATAAAATTGGAAGAGGAGAGCAGTGAGAATTCGGGGAAATCTGAGAGCAAAACAAAGAATCGTGATGTATATTTCCTTGTGTGTCGTCATTATCGTTCAAACTGCGTTACATTTTACATTATGTAACACTGATACTTTTTATCTGACAATAGCAAAAGTCCAATAAAAATGCTAGAAATGCAGGTAAATTAGTGTTGTTATTGACAACCTAAGCGATAACATCAATCTTACTTGTATTAGGCCGATCAATTGCCTGACAAGTTAATCCACGTTTTTATAGCTATCATGATCTCATCGGCCCGACAATATAATCTACACTGTCCCACATTGGTCCTGACAATTTAACCTCGGTTGTCAAATCTAGCTAACTCATTCCCTGTGACAAAATAATCCTAAATAGTTTACTTGAATAACGACCTTAGTTGGCATGTCTCGGACAAATTATCCCTAGCTTTTTTACTTATTTAACTTCGTACCACAGATAAAAATAACTCTAAATGTCACACTTGTCCGATTTCGTCCTCGACTAATTAACCTGGATTCTTCATGCTTATACGATTATGCCTGCTGCTGAAAGTGTTACAATTTTCATACCTATATCATGTGACCCCTCTCCTCTGTAAAATAACCGTATTTACCATACAAAGCCGTCATTGTTCCTTATAAAATAGTCAAAGTTGTCATAATAGCTTACCAAATTCCAACGCCCGACGCCAAAATAACGTTTTGTTTTTTACTTTGCTACAGCGCTCATGTCAACAACATCAAAACGAAATGCTGCTAGTGTCCGAGTCGCTCTAAATTGTCGTAAGCAAAAAAAGCAATGTATTTCATCATATCCGAATTCCAAAGTCTGTAAAATTCCTCCTTGTCAAAACAATTATCGTTTGCGTTAGTCAGGAGATAAAAATATAAATGTTTAAAATTCAAAATAGTGACGTGTAAAAACGACTGTATAATTAACCTCGTTTCGGTCCTATTTGACAACAAACTCATAGTTTACATATCAATTACGGTAGTCGGTGACGTAGTGATAACGCATTCAACTTTCACCTAGTCGACCGGGGTTCGATTCCCGGAACAGACGTGAAAAGGTAAGGGGTCACCTGACCGACCACGTGGGTTTTCCCCGGGTACTCCGGTTTCCTCCTACAATAAGACCCCTCGCGCGCTTACATCCGGGCCAACAAGAGTGATTAGTATAAGTTAACATAACTTGTTTCGCAATTGTTGTAAAATAAATAAAGTTTATATTATAGACGGCTGGGGTTCAAATCCCCGAGCGGAAGTGAAAAAGATATGGTGGTTATCTATCCAACCATGCCAGATTTCCACGCTTCCGTCCGGGCCAGCAAGAGTGATAAATATCAGCTGATAGCTTGTGTCGCAGTTGGTTTTAATTGGAGTTTATCTCTATATATTAATTTTTAAAAACCATGTCCGTGATATTTTATACATATTTCCATCTCTGACTAGATTTTTCGCACCTATAATATCTAAAGCTAGCTACAAGTACAAATTATGCCTAACGTAAATCTCTTCAAATAGATTGAAAATCCATTTTATGTAAATTGAAACTCCGATACATTTCAAAATTGAATCACCATTACTACAATAATGCCTATAATCAAGCTGTCACTTTAAGAACGGGAAATGGGGGAAAAGAAGGAATGAAGTTTTCACAATATTTTGAAGACCAGTAACATTATTCAGTTATATATAACTTTTACCAGAAGGCGTCAGAAGGCAAAACTATTAAAACTTGTGAATCGTCCGTACTGACCTAATAAAATTGATGACACTACCCTATTTAGTGTTCAGATTGTCTGTCTGAAGTTGGTTTTGTTGTAGGCTAATGCGATTTTGTTGAAAGGTTATAAAAAGCTCAAATAATTGTACACACGAATAAAGCTTAAAATAGTTTACAAAATGTTTAACAGTTTTTAGTCTTCCACCAGTTACCTGAAAATTAATCAAAATGAGAGAATTTGCTTCTAACACATCCTTGTCAAATATCAATTGCTCTAAATTGCCTTTGAATTGTTAAACAAAATTCAAATACATGTATTAACAACATTGAATATAAAAGTTACTGACATGAACAGATATACACTTATAATATATATAATATATTGCTGGCCCTCGCCATTATGTAATCAGTTAAAACGCTTAGGATTGAAGCAGTGCTTCAACTGACAATACATCTTTTTACACTCCCGTCTGAAACGGTCGTCAAGGAAACAGTACACAAGAGGGTTAGTCACATTACTCAAGAAATACCCTCGTATGAGAATTGAACTAAGAGCACCTGTTGAAACTGAGATGTTGTTGTATGTTGCGCGACTGACACCTTGTATGATGACGAGGACGAGATGAGGAAGGTAGCCCGCGTACGATACTGCTGTTGCAACGAGAAACATAAAAGTGATCTGTTTACTTCTGTCAAAAATCTTCATTTTTTTCGCTGACATTTTGAAGGCAGACACTGCTGACAGAGACCTCGTCAATGATTTCCGGTTATGATCGCCATAACTTGATTCGTCCTCATGGACTTGTGCAGAGTATTCGTCCTTTTTAAGTGTGGTCGTTACCCCGCCATCCGAACTGATTGCTCCACCTCTGCATGACGATAAGCTGCTGAGACGTTGCTTTGGCGACGCCGTTTGAGACGCACGTCGAAATTTCATTTGTCGATATAGAACGCGTCCTATGAATGTATAAGTAACGACACAGACAATGAAGACAACAGTGCACAATAAAAGTAGCAAAGAAGAATAAATCTTAAAAAATGTTTTCTTATACAGCTTGGAAACAGTACAATCGGATCCGATGATCTCCGGAAAGTTGTCAACAGGTTTGGATGTTGGTCCATAGAAGATAAGAGCTGGGATGGACAAAACAATCGAAACTATGACAGTAACAAAACATGAATATTTTGCCTCCTTAGCAGAAAGTTGTCTCCCCATTGGAACACATGCTTTCCGGTAGCGTTCTACTGCTATTACTCCAAGTAGTATACCAGAACACAAATTGACGAAGTGGTTCAGGAAACGGAACACCTTACACGCGCTTACTGATGTAAATGTATAACTATGTCGGGCGTCCATGATTTCGAATGGAATACTGAAAGTGCAGGCAACGAAGTCAACGGCAGCCAACCACACTACAAACATCTTGTGGTTCGAAGTCTTATAACGAAAGTAGTAAACGAGAAACGCATGCGCATTTCCAATAGACCCGACCACACAAAGTATTGTCAGATACACCACCACAGGAATGTATTTGTCAAGAAATTTTTCCCATTCCAATTTGTGCAAATCCGGAAAATTGACAGTTTTTGTAACATTAGAAATGTCGGGAGTAATTGTAGTAAAGTCATACCATTGTGTTGCATTGCTGCTGGATGATGTAGTATCATACAGATTATCATGTGGCAACCCTTGTGACGTGATTGTTCCACCAGTACCGCTAAACGTTGAATATTCGGGTAAGGCGCCAGTCAACATCTCTTCAGAAAATCGTTGTATACCTGGAAAGAAAAAGCAGTCGAAAATGAAATGTTACAAAAACTAGTTCTTCTTGTTTCCGTTTTTTTTTCTTCACAAAATCAAAAGTTCAAAACCTTTGTTCTAATATGCCACAATTTCAATACATTAGACAACAGGTTGGAATGTTGTGGCCGAGACTCTAATTATTCTTCCTCATTCACGCGGCGGTACGCTTTAAGTTTATTTCAGTATCCAATCATAGACACGATCTCATGAGTCACTAGCAAGCATTCGCGGAAAAAAAATATTTTTACTTACTTTTTTGTTTTTTTAAAACTGACATTCAAGTTCAAGGACATCTCGTTTTCCTCAAATCAAATTATAGAAAATATGTTGGTATTTTGAGCTGTATGCGGAGGTGAGGAATATAGCGACGCAAATAACATTGATGTCAGGGGTTTTTCACCACATAGACAACTGCGTTATTTAATCACGTCAAGATTGATTTCCCCAACCTGTGTCAATTTGTAACTGGTGGGAATAAACATGGGAATAGAGATTAATGAATGATGTCATGATTATTTATAGGGATAAATTCCTTCTATCCTTAAACAAGACGAAAATCTCAGGTGACGCTGTAATCTAATACATTTACACACCTTTGCTCATTTAATTACAATTTAGAATTCCGCCTGCCTTGCTATACATTCAGAGAATATAATCAACTTTGAAGAAGGACAGTAACCTCATTTTTCTATCTCGCCCGATCTGTCTAGCACCCGCCTCTAGGCGTAGGTGGCACCTACAACCACCGTGCATTTCAACGAAAACGTAGGCTATAGCGTTGTTATAATTTCACCCCCCCCCTCTCTCTCTCTCCCTCTCTCTTCTTCCCCGTCCCTTTCCTTCTCTCTCTCCCTCACCCTTACTTCCCCACTCTCTTTCTAGAAACAGTCATTTGTTGTTGATTTGAATTACGTATTGTCATGATTGTATTATGTACATTGTATTTATTTGTTTGTATTTTGGAGAGGCGTTTTATAAGTTGAAATAACTTGTGCCCAATCCGTTTAAAACTTTGTTGAATAAAAAATGTTTAAAATAAACTAAAAATAATTTCAACGAAAATGCGACCCCGCACTCTTGAGAGGTAAAAAATGTGCGGCCTTTATGCGGCACTACCCAAACGTTGTTTAAAAGTGAAGAGGTTGTTGGGTAGTTTGAGAATCCCACGGGATACGCCGTGTATTGAAGTATTGAATAATTTTCAGAGTAATTGATATGATAAAAAATATATTACCTATAACGGGACGGGCTAAGATCCTTTATCATCCTAAACTCGACTAACGCCTCGATTGGGATTCGCTCAGTTACTAGTAACATATGTTATAAAACTTTTGCGTTAAGTTGTACATTTATTTGCTAATGACGTAACCTTGAAAGTTACCACTTTGATTAATTATCTCCAGTTTTTAAATGCGCAAGTAAAATTGTAGTAATGAATAAAATCCACTTGCCTTACAGTCTTTTTTGGTGCGCAGGCTGTTATAATATGTCGGTATTCACCAAGAACACAAAGGTAAACATCAAACCAAAAAACGTCTCAAAAACAGTATCAATGCTTCACTGAATCCATGTCGTACAGCCTCCGTGGAAGTGTCCAACAAAACAGCTGTACATGGTTATTTACAATATCACTTGGACAGGCTAATAAGTTGAGTGGGTCACATAGTCCAGAAAATGCGTTTAACTGACTCCGAAGGTCGTATCGTGCTCCGAACTTAACCTAAGTGGCACTTATACGATTCAGTAATCCCACATCATATGATGATGATAATTAGGACTAGGGATGAATGCTAGGTGACGTTTACAACAACCACTGTCATTCTCCGGAAGAAGGTACTCTCAAGTCAACTCAAGACAATGGAGGTCCCGTTAACATGGATTGGAGGGCAGTAGGGATGACAATAATTCGTTTTCGAGACCTTAGAAAACAATAATATAATTGTTGAAATGATTGAGAGCGTATTGATTCTCCGTTGGAAACTGTTACATAATAATTCCAAGTATGATGCATTGCGATCATCTTTATAAAGAATAAATATGAGCGTAGTCGGTTTTGTTTTACCTTGAAATAACTAAGAAGAGTGAAATGGAATAGCTAGGACAGTATAATGGAGTAACTAGGACAGTATAATGTAATAACTAGGACAGTATATTGGAATAACTAGGACAGTATAATGAAATAACTAAGGAGAGTAAAATGGAATAACTAGGACAGTATATTGGAATAACTAGGACAGTATAATGAAATAACTAGGACAGTACAATGGAATAACTAGGACAGTATAATGGAATAACTAGGACAGTATAATGTAATAACTAAGGAAAGTGAAATGGAATAACTAGGACAGTGAAATGGAATAACTAGGACAGTATAATGAAATAACTAGTACAGTATAACGGAATAACTAGGACAGTTTAATGAAATAACTAGGACAGTTTAATGAAATAACTAGGACAGTGAAATGGAATAACTAGGACAGTATAATGGAATAACTAGGACAGTATAATGTAATAACTAAGGAGAGTGAAATGGAATAACTAGGACAGTATATTGGAATAACTAGGTCAGTATAATGTAATAACTAAGGAGAGTGAAATGGAATAACTGGGACAGTATATTGGAATAACTAGGACAGTATAATGTAATAACTAAGGAGAGTGAAATGGAATAACTAGGACAGTATAATGGAATAATAGCGGAGAGTGAAATGGAATAACTAGGGCAGTATAATGAAATAACTAGGACAGTATAATGGAATAACTAGGACAGTATAATGAAATAACTAAGGAGAGTGAAATGGAATAACTAGGACAGTATATTGGAATAACTAGGACAGTATAATGGAATAATAACTAGGACAGTAAATGGAATAACTAGGACAGTATAATGGAATAACTAGGACAGTATATTGGAATAACTAGGACAGTATAATGTAATAACTAAGGAGAGTGAAATGGAATAACTAGGACAGTATAATGAAATAACTAGGACAGTATATTGGAATAACTAGGACAGTATAATGGATTAACTAGGACAGTATAATGAGAGTGAAATGGAATAACTAGGACAGTATAATGAAATAACTAGGAGTACTAAGTGGAATAATGGAATAACTAGAGGACAGTGGAATAATGGAATAACTAGGACAGTATAATGGAATAACTAGGACAGGACAGTATAATGAAATAATAGGACAGTTTAATGGAATAACTAGGACAGTATAATGGAATAACTAGGACAGTATAATGGAATAACTAGGACAGTGAAATGGAATAACTAGGACAGTATAATGGAATAATAACTAGGACAGTATAATGGAATAACTAGGACAGTATAATGTAATAACTAGGGAGAGTGAAATGGAATAACTAGGACAGTATAATGGAATAACTAGGACAGTATAATGGAATAACTAGGACAGTATATTGGAATAACTAGGACAGTATAATGAAATAACTAAGGAGAGTGAAATGGAATAACTAGGACAGTATATTGGAATAACTAGGACAGTATAATGGAATAACTAGGACAGTATAATGAAATAATTGGAATAACTAGGACAGTATATTGGAATAACTAGGACAGTATAATGTAATAACTAGGAGAGACAGTATAATGGAATAACTAGGACAGTATAATGTAATAACTAGTAATGGAATAACTAGGACAGTATAATGTGAAATGGAATAACTAGGAAGTATAATGGAATAACTAGGACAGTATAATGTAATAACTAAGGAGAGTGAAATGGAATAACTAGGACAGTATAATGAAATAACTAGGACAGTATATTGGAATAACTAGGACAGTATAATGGATTAACTAGGACAGTATATTGGAATAACTGGAATAACTAGGACAGTATAATGGAATAACTAGGACAGTATAATGGAATAACTAGGACAGTGATAATGGAATAACTAGGACAGTAAATGGAATAAAGGACAATAACTAGGACAGTATATTAACTAATAATAATGTAATAAAGGAGAGGAGAGTGATAATGGAATAACTAGGACAGTATAATGAAATAACTAGGACAGTGTAATGGAATAACTAGGACAGTATAATGGAATAACTAGGACAGTATAATGTAATAACTAGGACAGTATATTGGAATAACTAGGACAGTATAATGAAATAACTAGGACAGTGTAATGGAATAACTAGGACAGTATAATGGAATAACTAGGACAGTATAATGTAATAACTAGGACAGTATAATGAAATAACTAAGGAGAGAGATAATGGAATAACTAGGACAGTGGAATAATGGAATAACTAGGACAGTATAATGAAATAACTAGGAAGGAGAGAGGAAATGGAATAACTAGGACAGTATAATGAAATAACTAGGACAGTATAATGAAATAACTAGGACAGTATAATGGAATAACTAGGACAGTATAATGAAATAACTAAGGAGAGTGAAATGGAATAACTAGGACAGTATATTGGAATAACTAGGACAGTATAATGGAATAACTAGGACAGTATATTGGAATAACTAGGACAGTATAATGGAATAATAGCGGAGAGTGAAATGGAATAACTAGGACAGTATAATGAAATAACTAGGACAGTATAATGAAATAACTAGGACAGTATAATGGAATAACTAGGACAGTATAATGGAATAACTAGGACAGTATATTGGAATAACTAGGACAGTATAATGAAATGCCCAAGGAGAGAGAAATGGGACAACTAGGACAGTATAATGGAATAACTAGGACAGTATATTGGAATAACTAGGACAGTATAATAACTAGGACAGTATAATGTAATAACTAAGGAGAGTGAAATGGAATAACTAGGACAGTATAATGGAATAACTAGGACAGTATAATGTAATAACTAGGACAGTATATTGGAATAACTAGGGCAGTATATTGGAATAACTAGGACAATATAATGGAATAACTAGGACAGTATATTGGAATAACTAGGACAGTATAATGGAATAGCTAGGACAGTATCATGGAATAACTAGGAGTTAGAAAAATAGAATTACCAAGAAGAGTGTTATGCATTAACAGATTAGAGTGTGTAGGAATAACCACGGAGAATGTAATTAATTAACAAAGAAGAGTGTAATAGAATAACCAAGTGGAATGTTATATGATAACCACGGAGAGTGCAATTGTGAATAGCCCGTTGTAGTTTCACACCAGTTCGTCAGGCATTTTAGTACGATTTCGCCCTCCTTTTATCTATATTTCACATGTTTTTGAACAGTGACCACCATTTTTATAATTAAATAGATACCATATGTATATGAGCGAGCATAATATCAAAATTTCTAGTTCTGCATTGTATCATCTTACCTCAGTGTTTCTGTCTTTGTTATGCCTTGACACAGAGAGGCCGATCACTAGATGTTCAGTTGTATATGTAATACCAATATCATTCCTACAAAACTATAAAATGATAATTTAAACTGATTTGTTCTGTGACATAAGGACACAAGTATTGATAATTAACATATAGTGAAATACTATCAGCAAACAAACTGCGTTATTTGATTACTTATATATCGATTTTTGTCAAATTGCAACATTGCTTTCATTCGACAAGTATTCCATATACATTGTATAGAATTAATGGCTACCAGCCACTGTTGTTGATCTCTACATTTTTACAACTACAAGGTTCAAAGCATGTCAAATTGAGTGCCAATAGGACAAGTCTCCTTTGCCCATCTATTTCATGCATCTTTAAAATAGATATATGCGATTACCTTATAAATTGCCAAATATACCGGTGACATATCTATAAGCAAACACTTTTGCATGAAGTTATCTACAATAAATGTGAAACCGCAACACGTGATGTGTAAGGATGTATTATAAGGCTCGGGCGCTCCAGGAGGAAGTAGAGACAATGCTTGCCAAGGGCGTGGTTGAGGAGGTTCCTATGTCTGGGTCTATGGGATGTGTGCAACTTCAGTAGATCTGAAGGATGCCTACTTCCATATCCCCATGCAAGAAGACGGCACAGAAGTTCCTCCGCTTCACGTGCAACGGCAAGGTCTTCCATCTTTGGAGAAGTTCGAGAAGGTCAGGGCTTTGACCTTCATCGCTTGGTCGCATGTCAAGTTGCCTTGGTTCCTAAGTTTTCTGGGGTATCTCAACTCCCTGGCAGATGCGGTCCCCCTAGGGAGGCTTTACATCAGCCCTCTCAAGATGTTCCTCCTGTCCACCTGGGTTCCGTCATCCAGGAAGTGGGAGGCCTGGATTCCTCTTACCCAGTCGGTTTAGGGAGTTCGCTCGCTGATGGATCATTCAGGAGAACGTTCTCCGCGGGGTGCCTCTGAACAAGAATGTCCCCTCTATGATCCTGTTAACGGACGTGCCTATGACAGGAGCTTATGGGGAGCTTATCTCGACGGCCAATGCCGCTCGGAGGAGTGGTCCGGGGAACAGCTCTCTACAGTTGTCGCGTGTCTGGAGAGACAAGGGGGCACCAGGTCTCACGTCCTGTGCGCTTTCGCCATTCACATTCTTCTTCTCTGTTAGGAGATTCAGTTGACTGTCACGGTCAAGCATTTTCCTGGCATGCT